AAGTGCATTGGGTCGAGACGCGCCTCCTCGTAGTAACTGCCTCTGCTCTGACTACAGCAGAGTCTAGGAGCTCAGACTCGGGGGCCAGCTCCTGGTGTCCGACTTTGCTCTACACCTTCCAGCAGTGTGGCCTTGGGCAAGTCACTGAACCACTCAGTGCTTCCATTTCTAAGGTGTGAAAAAGGATGGTGATAATAACGTGACCCTGGTCACCAGGCGGTGGTGATGAGCTCAAGCACGTACAGAACTTAGGACAGTGGGCAGTACCTCGTGCGTGCCTAAGGGCCCTGCAACATTACGGCTGTTACTCTCGGTCATAACCAGAACGGGCAGGGAGACGATTCACTGCTGACAGTCTGTTTCCAGTGTCACTTGGCACCAACCAGCATGGAACCCAGGGGGCTCTGCCTGTCCCACACTCCGGCCTGATTGCTGGCTGTGGAGGGCCAATAGGATCCCAGCAGCTGACAGGAGCTAAGGTCAGGAGGTGGGGGTGGGTGGTAGGCATTGCCACGTCTCAGTGTTGGCTTCCACCCGCGTTGGACTGTCTGGTTGAGGGGTGCAGGGAGTGGTCACACTGCTCAAGGGATCTTCCCTGTGCCGACCGATGCCCCTGCTAGGAGCTGGCCTACCTCAACTGGGCAGCAATGGCTGCAAGCTATTCCCAACCAAGGCATGCAGCCCCTAGGAAGCTGCCAGTGTAGCTCTGCGGCTCTCACTGGTGGGATCTGTCACTATCCAGCAACAGAGTGTGGCCTGAGCGGGTGCTCGGAGAAGAAGACCGACTGGAAGCTTCTCCCGGAGATTCCAAACATGAAGCCAGCGTAGAGACACATGCAGTCAGGAAAGTAATCACCTGGCCAGGATTCTGCGACTAGACAGCCAGGAGAAAACCCCTGGAGAAACCCCTGGCTGTGGCATTAGACAAACCCGAGTTCAAATCCTGGCGCTGACTGGTGTCCACAGGGGATCCCGACCTTGAACGGGAGGGTGGCAGGAGCAGGAGGAAGGGGAATGGGGACAGCAGTGATGAAGAACGATCATCATGGTGGCCAATGTTTCCTGAGCACATTCTACGGGCAGGCCAGTCCTAGACACTGGTAAACGATCTTCACCCTCAAAACAGCCCACAGAAGAAGTCCCATGGAAGGGAGAGTAGGGTCCTGACAGACTAAAAGCAGGTGACTGAAAAGAGTTTAATAGTGTGCTATTTACAAAGGTCTGGGAAACCAATTAGGGGTGGTCCTTTGTCTGAAAGGACAAGAGAGGGCGTAGTTATCATACTTGGATAAGGAAAGGTGTTAGAGACCTTGACCGAAAGCTGTCTGGCAAAGCTGCTTGTGAAGAGAACTGTGTGTTCAGACTTACTTTCTACCTCTGAGAAAGGGGATGGTAGTAACAACAATCCCTGCTTCATAAGGATGTTGTATGGATTGCACACTTGATGAGTTCATGAGCTCGGAGCACTTAGAACAGGACCAACCCACGGTAATCTAGAAGGGAGGCACCCGGTGTGGCAGGTAGAACAAGCACCCCAAAGATATCTTATTTTTTTTAGAGAGATTTTTGCTATAGGGTGCATGCGCTCGCCAGAGAGACAGAAAGCGAGAGATTACCCTCCAGGTGGGATGGCCACACCACAATCCCTTCTCCATTCTCCTCTCAGGATCTTAGGCATGCACACACACATGTCCAGTGTGAGTTTTAAGTTGCCGGGTCTAGGACTTGAACCATGGTTGAGTACTTGGAAGTCCAATGACATACCATTATACCGTCTGCTGGTCCCCACTCCAAAGATATCTTACAGATGTCTGGGTCATCTTATATCCTTCAGGTGTTGTCTTAACCTACTTCTGCTCAGTCTTCCAAATTCCAACAGCCATTCCCCAAGACCTCTTCACCCCAGCACTGCCTACAGGCCTTTCCCTATTGTCCACTGCAAAGCATCATTGCTGCCACTTCTCCCTCCTAGTCCAGGGCAGACATCACGAATCGATCACAGAGCTCTCTTTTTCTTTCTTTCTTTCTTTCTTTCTTTCTTTCTTTCTTTCTTTCTTTCTTTCTTTCTTTCTTTCTAGGTTTCTGTAATAGTATGTATGCTTTCTGAAGAGAGAGACAGAGACAGGGAGAGGGGAAGAGAGAAATTATCACCAGGGGGAACGGCAAATCCACAGGTATAGCCACACCACAATACCTTCTTCTTCATTCTCCTACTGGGATTATGGGCATGCATGCACACATGCCCAGTTTGATTTTCAAGCAGTTAGGTCTGGGATTTGAATGTGGTCAGCTATATACGAATCCAGCACCTTAACCACCACACCATCTGCTGGCCCCACAGCCTTTTCAGCGTTAGTGCCTTTTGTAAAACAAACTCTTGGAAGCCAAAAAGAGACAAAAATGAGGAGGGCTACCCTTCCCTGGGAGATGCAGGACACCGGGAAGTCCACATGCTTTTTACCTTTGGCAGGTGAGATTTAGGTAAACATTGCATCAAAGGGCAGCTTTCAACTTCCCAACTCAGGAAGTAAACTTGGGAAGCAAAGGTGTGACAAGAAGGGTGACAAAAGACAGCTATGCTCAGCTTTGGGGAATTGTAAGAGTGGGGCAACAGGGGTCACTAGCTCAGGCTCTCGTGTTTTTACGAGCTGACATAGGCTCTGCCCTCCCCCTCCCTCTCCTCCTCCAGCACGCACCCTGAGTCCCCTGCATGGCTGGTGTGATTGGGGTGACCTGGCGGTCATCATCAGAGCCTACCTTGGACTTGACCGCCAGGATAATCTTGGGCAGGGCCACGATGAGGCACTTGAGGGCAATGGTGATGTACTTCAGCACGAAGTCTGCGATCCCCACGATCCACAACAGGTCAAAGAAGTCCAGAGTCTCCAAGTTAGGCTTCAGGAAAATGAGGCTGCAGGGAAGACTCAGAGAGTCAGAATGTTCTTCGAGCTAAGCCCTCAGTCACTCCTTCCAGCGCTCAGGAACTGTGATGCTGTGAATACTGTCTCAAGAAAGAGCACTGGACTAGCAGTCCCACATCTATGTCCTGTTCCTCAAGGTGCTACGACTCTGCTGTGTGACCTCAGGCAGGTCTCCTAACCTCTCTGAACCTCAGTTCCCTTGAGGGATAAAAGACAAGGCTGGCCTGAAGCATCACAGGTTCCCTCCAGTTTTATGGGTCTACAGCAGACTTTGTTAAGAGGAGGCAAAATGAAGAAAGGAAGAAGGGAGGGAAGGAAAAAGGGAGGGGAGGAGGGATGGAAGGCAGAAGGCAGGCTCACACTCTCCATTAGGCACCACGACCAATAATTATAGTACTTGAGCACAAGATGGTATTAATTAGGACACAATCATGTGTCCAGTATTTTTTAGGTTCCCCGGTACTTTCACGTGTATTACAATATTTGGTCCTCCTAAATAGCTTGGCTAGGTGGAGAAAAAGTTATTATGACTATTTTTTAAAGAATTATTTATTTAATTTTATTTGCTATTATTATTTTATTTTTAAAAATTTGACCAGAGAGAGAGAGAAAGAGAGAAAGGGAAAGTGAGAAAACAAACCCCAGGCCCAGGACTCCAACTGCAGTCGGCCTTGTGGGAGCCCAGCACCTTAAGCCCCACGCCACCTGCTGGCCTCAAAGAATTATGATTTGTTTTTAATTGTCAGAGGGCAGGTGCACTTGCCAGAGAGAGAGAGAGAGAGAGAAAGTAACCCCTCCCAACAGGGCGTGGTCATGCTGCAATCTCTCCTGCATTTCTCCATCCTGTCAGGATTTGGGGCATGCACACACATGTACCTGGCATGTTTTCCCTGCCCCTGGGGCCAGGATTTGAACCGCAGTTGGCCATATGGCTTCCTTACCCACTAGCCTCTGGAACTGGCCCAAATTTATTTTTGTCAAGTTTATGTGTTTATTTCTTCCTGAGGGAGAGACAGACAGACAGACAGCATCTGCATTAGGGTCCTGAGGCTGTGATCCACCTCCATCCTGGGTTAGCTCTGGGTCAAGGGCACACACCTACCCAGCATCTGCATTGGGGTCCTGAGGCTATGATCCACCTCCATCCTGGGATAGCTCTGGGTCAAGGGCACACACCTACCCAGCATACTCAGAGAGGTCACAGGATGCGAACCCAGAACCCTCTTGAGTGGGTCAACGTTACAGTGTTGTGTGTTTACTACTGTGCCACTGCCAGCTCCCCCAAGAACTAACTTGGCCACAGTTTCACTAATGACAAAGCTAGGGGAGGCTCAGAGAGGTTGTTTTTATATTTGCCAAAAGGCACAAAACACACAGAGCTGGCAAGTGGAAGAATGAAGACCCTTGGATGTGGGTCGTCAGATTTTAAACCCTGCTCAGATTCAAGTTTATGGAGCGGGCAGGTGGTGTGGTGGTTAAGGCGCTGGACTCCCACATGGCTGACTGCAGTGTGAGTTCTGACTGGTGGCTTCTTTTCTCACTATTCCTCTCTCTCTGGTCAAATTAACAATAATAATAATAAATAAAATTAATAAAATAATTATTTAAAAAATGATTCAAG